GTGTTTTTATATTTTGTATTCTGATATGGCTTAATGGCTAATCAATAAAGTATTACTATTACTACTACATATTCCATTCATTCTGTTAGATTAATCTATCTTGTAATGGTTCATAATTTGTAGTATCTCTTTCTTTAGTTATTCTACTTCCATTATAACAAATCAGTCATACTTTTAAATTAGTTCCATTACAATGCATGAAGAGACATATACTGAAACCATAGATTCAAACCATACCTCATCCCTAATTTTTCTATTATCACCATTCATTGAAGTTTAACATAGGAATATAAAGTATGCATTTTTACTTTCATCTACATTTGCAACAATCTCAGTGACATCAATTCATACTTAGTGACATTCATTTTAATCCTTTCATCCATAATTAAACTTCCACCTACTAGTTCAGTTCATTTTTATTCAGATCTATTACATCCTCCCCTTTCTATTACATCCTTCCCTTTCTCTTCTTTTCATTTTATTCATACTTTGTACTAGTTGCTCCTCTTACAATCCAAATAACAATTTTCCATATCATGGTCATCACCAAATGAGCCCATAAATAATGACCTCTGCCACCCATCATGGCTTTGATTGAGACAATCATATAATGGTATTTAGTAAGAGAGAGGAGTAGATTAGGGTGCCAGTGTTAGATATATCTTTGTTATGTAACATTTCCAGCTAATGATGAGGATCGTCAGTTTGCACACGTTAGCTAGTATGCCAAAAACACAACCAAAGCCCAGTGGATTTGCACACTGTTCTGTGGAAGCTAAGATCTTTATTGTAGAGATGACCAGGAAAGCCAACATACTGTTGCCACACCCAACTAACTAGGAGGTAAATGTAATATGCTAATACACTCAGGATTCAAGTGTGTTTTTTTGAAATATGTATTGCTAGTTTATCCTTCCTAGTTGAATTGTTATATATTCTGTATTTTAGATTTAAATTAATACAAACAAATAACTAGACATTTGGGCTACATGGTTTCTCAGCATCTTCTCAGATAACTTCTTGAGGCTTTGAAAACATACTTTATCTGTGTTCAGATAAATGTGTCATTTTTTAAACCTTTTATTTTATTGCAGTTTGAGCAACTGGCTTATTTGTGGATGGAAAGACAAAAATCAGGTGGAAATTATAGCCGACATAGAGCTCAGACGGAGAAACATGTTGTTTTGTGTGTCAGTTCTCTTAAGATTGACCTGCTTATGGATTTTCTAAATGAGTTCTATGCTCATCCTAGGCTCCAGGTAAGTCAAGCAAATCAGCATTTCAATTCAGGCAGAAATATTATGCAGACCATTTCCTAAAATTTTTAATTCATTTAAATACTCAGTAGTGCCATGGGTCACCTACTTATATCTGTAAAATTTAACTCATTTTAAAATTTATTAAAGGAGTATAAAACATCTAGCATTTCTTTTTACTAGACTTGTGTAGTTTCTTTAGTGCCAATCCTGAGGTTTTTTTTATGATTAATGAGATCTGTGTAGTAACCTCTAAAGCTTACATTTTCTGCTGTTGAACACAGATTCTTTTTCAGTGTGTGTAAAGCTTAACATTTTTTTGCCAGAGGAAGTTATTTAAATTCATCTCTGCATGAGGCTGAGCATTATACATTGATATCTGGCAGAGCAACTATGGCATCAGTAAAATCACTATTGAAATAAATAGCAGGAGAATTTTTTTCTTTAGAAAAATAAAAAGTTAAAAATAAGTTATCCTTCAACTACTCTTCTCTCAACCCTAATTTTTTCCAAGATAAATATTAGAGTAATAATCCATGAAATATAACCATGTATCATTTCTTCTTGTTCTTTTTTGTTTCTTCCAACATATATTTTATAGGACTACTATGTGGTTATATTGTGTCCCACTGAGATGGATGTTCAGGTTCGAAGAGTGCTTCAAATTCCAATGTGGTCCCAAAGGGTTATCTATTTGCAAGGTTCAGCACTGAAGGATCAAGATCTCCTGAGAGCTAAGTAGGTACCAAACCAATGGATAAGGATCTTAAAGAACATATATGCTTTTTATCATCTTAACATAAAACTAATTCAATAAAAGACTATTTTTCACATTTACTGTACATCCCAGAGAATGTTTAAAAAGGGCTGGCTATTAATTTTATCATTTTGGAAGTATTAGGTAGGAGGAAATTAACTCCTACTGTCACCTCATTTTGGTTACAGTTAGGGATAGGGTTTGATAATATGGTATTACAAAGATCAGTAGGATTTAAACATGTCAATGTATGTTTGAATTATATACCTAAAGCTAGAATTTATCATTATATAAAGAATGTGTTGAGCATGGGAGCAGTTGTAGTATTGGAAAAATAGGGTGCTTTCAGATCTACAACTTTGGAGATAGTTGGTATATATTCACTTTTAGCTCTTTATCAAGATAATGGAAAGCCTGATTAACATGGAATAATGTGATCATAATTTGCTTAAAAACTAGGTTAAATTATTTCTCATATGCAACATAACATGGTTTTCTTGGCTCTCCCTTTTGTCTCCTTTCTTTTTGGTATATTAAAACAAAAATAAAGAGCTAAGTAATTTGTGTTTCATATTTATAATACTAATTTTAATATATAAGAAGTAGATGGAGAATGCATGGCATGTGTTAGAAACCCTTTAACTCATTAAGATACTCATTCCTGTTTATAATTTGGATATTTATTCTTTTGAATTTCAAATATTAGGAATCTAGTTATTAATTTAATGAATTCAAGATTTCTGTTGTTGTTTGCTATTTCTTTCTTTTCTATGTAATACCTGGATTATGTTTCAGCTGAGTTAGTAGAAGTTAGTATTCTAGTGAAAAGTACAAATCTAGAAACATTTTATGGGCAACCGTAACTTTACAGCGAAGTGAACTACAATCAATTACAATTTTCTGCACATCTGTACTTGTATAATATAGATGCTATATATATTTAAATAAGTATAATACATTTGCTAATTACATTTGCATTGAAAATATCTTTATATCTTGATGCAAACTTTGAAGTAGCATTAAGACCCTGGGGTCAATCTCCCAGCCCATATAAGATGGGTTCGTATTTTAACATCTGCTAGCTTGTATTGTCTCTAACCATTCTTGCAATAAGTTGAAGTAGGTGTAACAATAAGAGTTCTAAAATAAGGATTCCTAAATCAATTTTGATCTTCATGCAAGTTACTATGGTGAAAAATTTGTGTTTTTAAGTTATTGAAATGAAAAGCAGCAGAAATTTTAGAGGTCTGTAATCTTGAGAACATCAATACTCTCTTTTTGCAGGGGCAAGATAAATTATATGCAGTTCTTACTTGAAGGAGTTAAATCTGCTTAATTGATATAAGTGATAATTTAACAAGAAGAGGAACCCATTAGTTGCAATAGATTTTACACAATTCTTGGGGCAAAATATTTTCTAGAGTCTTGTTTGATATTATAATGCTAAACAGATACTTAATCATAGATATTTCTTTGTGTGCTTTCTTATCAGCTATCTTAACTGCTTTGGAAATTTACTTCTGGACAGGACTGATCAGAGCTCATTTAGATCTGTCTCCTAAATCTTTGAGTTGTCGATCTCACCTTATTGAGGTTGACAAGTTCTGTTGTCAGAAATAGAGATTCACACATTATTTATAGCTGTCAAACCCTTTCCTTCGTTTTAAGTCTTTCATTGCAAAATAAAAATCTAATTCAAAAAGATAAATACAATTAATGAGCCAAAGAATGGCTATATAAATAATTTCTTTAAAGGTCTTTAGATTACATTCAGGTAGGCAGCTAAAAGAATGCAAAGCATCTTTCCCTTTTCCTATTCCTTTTCTTTCCCCATTCAGCCTCCTACTTTCTTTTTTCCCTAGTGAAATCCACTAATTTCCCTTTACACCACAACCTTACATCTCTTCCAAGGCTTCAAGCTATATTTTTATTAGAAGTCTGCTCCTTCTTTGAAACTCACTGGAGCAGGCATTGATTAGAGTTTCACTATGTTGTTTTATTTAATTGAAGCCCTTTTTGTGCACCTAGAAATTCTTCTTATAAAAAAGGAGAGTCTCAATATAAGCTAGTCATTCAACATCTTTTCCAATATGGACTCTGCCCTCCTGTCAATTCTCTGACAGTGCCAAACATAAAATATTGGAATCACTGTAAACCATGATATATGATATGGGGGCTTGGTTCACAGATTTCTCATTTTCATCTTTATTAACCTTGGAGTCACACTTTGATTTTAAAGAATTCTTAAAACTGAGACCATTTGAAAGACTCTTAGTTGCAGATGGATTAATAATTTCATAATTACCTTTACCTTCAATCTTCAGTCATTTTCAGTTTTAATTACATTAATTGATTTTTAAAATATCCTGGCCATTGCTTTAATCATTATTAAAGTTTTTAAAAAATAAATCATTGAATAATGAAGGTAGGAACTCACTTGACACCAAAAAACCAGCATTGCAATAGCTTTTATTTTTACCATATTAAGTATCACTTTATAATTTGGTTAAAATTTGTTGTCTTATGGCTTTCAGGATTTTTAGGGGCTGCAAAGTCCCCTATGGTGCAGTCACCTACATTCTACTCTGAAGTAGTCTTCAATGAAACTTACTCCCAGATATGTAGTTATGGGATTGCAGCTGCTTGAGTATATGGGAGTAAGACATAATCATTTTGCATAGGTTTTATAAAATAAATGTTCATTTTTCTATTAAGAGTGAATATTCGTTTGTTTGTTTGTTAAATCTGTATGATGCCAATGAATCTAGTTGATATAAAAATATAATATTATAGAAAATAATCAGGAAATATGTCACCTCAATGGAAATAATGTTGTATGCTATTTAATAAATAAATCATTACTTAACATATAAAAAATCAAAAGATTTCCAGTTATTATATCAATAAATCAATATTAATATTAATATTATTATATACATGGATGGATAACCCTATTTTGCTAAAAAAAAAAAAGTGATTTTCTCTGGGTTAGAAGGTAAACTTGAATGTTAAAAAGCTGTCCTTTAAACATAATACCTGTAGCATTATTTAGCCTATAGAAATTCAAAGCTAAGCAGCTATTAAAATGTACATTTCTCCTTAGAAATCATATAATTGAATGTACCCCTCTTATATTTAAACAGTATGGGAAGCAATTTAATAGACCATATTTAAGAAATGTAGCCCAAATGTGGGTTTTTAATAGACCATATTTTAAGAAATGTAGTGGAAGTTGCTAAGCAGCAGTGTGCCTCACTTTTTTTATAATAAGCATTTTATAAACTCATTACTTAGTAACCCTTCTAGTGAATGAAGTGTTTAGAATCTTTTGGCTACTATTAACCAGAAAAATAAAACTCTGAATTGTTTTTGTTCCTCAGTATCTCAGTTAGTATACTCTTCTCTAGCCCCTGTGAAAAACAAGGTATGTAAGGGGTGCAAGTTCATCTTTTGTTAATTAATCTTATGATAATTTTAAATCACTTATTTCCTTTTTGTAAAGTAACAGAGATAATTTCATGTTTGATAATTCCATAGAAAAGAGCAGTAAGAAAGCAGAGTGTGTAGAGCTGCTTTGGATTCAGCATCATTGACCCAGGGGGAAATGCTGTGAAGTTTGCCTCCACAGCTTGTGATGACTTCTGCTTTATATTGTAATGGTGGGATATCTAGTGGATGAAACAAGGTAGGATAATCCCTCCGTCTGCAAATGATTTGCAGGACTGCCTCTCCCTGAGGGTATCTGCCTATAGCATGTTCCAGGTCCCCTCTATTAAACAATGTCATCTGGGGGGGATTTAGGAGACATGTCTTTTCCATAGCAGTGCCTGCCCTATGGAATAGGCCCTGTCCTGAGATCTGGAGCATCTCTATCCTCTTAATCTGAAAAGATGTGAAGAATTGGCTTTTCCTCCAGATGTTGGGCTAGCATTGGAGTTGAACCCAGCACACGTGTTGTTTGGTACAGGATTATTATGGCTCCTTGGTGGGAGTATAATAGTTTTTTTAAAAAAATGTTGAGTAGACATGTTTTGTTTTGTTTTGAAATTGTAGTGATTTGATGGTTGTTAGCTACCCAGGGTTAACTTGTATAAGATGATTGGCCATATAAATCTTATGAATAATAAATTAGTCTGGACCAACCTTACTGTAAGTTAGTAAGTTACTTACTAAGTTACTGTAGTGCCATTGAAACTACCTCTAAAAGCTTTTAGAAACGAGACTGACATGTGCAAGCTTGTCAGAAGCTTTACTGAAATTGAGAGTTTATATTCACAGCATTTCCCTTGTCTGCTAAAGAAGAAGGAGATGAGGTCTGTCAAAGAAGGAGATGAGATCTGTCTTATACTATATATTTTTGACAAAGCCATGCTGACTTTTAGCGATCACAACATTGTCTTCAAGATGCTTATAAATGCCCTGCTTTATTATTTGCGATAACATCTTTCAGGTATTAATGGTGAAGCTCATTGGTCTATAATTACTGGTATTGTGTCTGTTGAATGCACTTTAAAAAAAGTGTCTCTTCTGGCATCTCTTCAGTTCTCCAAGACTCCTCAATGATAATTGATAGAGCTCTTCAGCTAGTTTCTTCAATATTCTAATATATCTCAGCAGGACAAAGATTGGTTCTCTTGTTTCCAAATGGAGAAATCTTAACAGATGACTACAAGAAAATAGATGAACACAACTCCTATTTTGCTTCTGTTTTTCATATCCAAAGGAAATGGTGTCTTGAGTAGCATAGAGTGAGTGTACAGTTCAATCTGTCCTAAATTTACTTCCTCACTGATATTGTTTGAGACTGCACTATTCTTAATTTCCTTTATAAGAAGCCCCAGCTGTTTGCAGCACCTTTGGCTTTAAGACTTTCCCCATGGCATTTTCCTTACTATTTATCTTAGTTTATTCAGATTGGTCTTTCTATTAGCTATGGTTTGCATTTTACTGTTTTTTTTTAAACTAGGCTTTTTATTAAAAACATGAACTCTAACAGCATGGTTACTTGCACCCAAAGTTCTTTCATATTTAATATCTTCAGTCAGCTCCTCTGTTAGTAAGGACCAAATCCAAGGTAGCAGATGTGTCTACTTCAGTCTTCTGAAGGAGAAAATTACCACTAATGCAAACCAAGAAATTTTTCTGACTTCTTGTTTCTGGCAGAATTAGTCTCTCAATAAATGTCTGGATAGTTGAAATATCTCATCACAGCTGTTTCTTGTTTTGTTTTGTTTTTGTTTTTTTGAAGATTCAGTTATCTGTTTTAATAAATCTTCCTCTACTTCTTCTGATTTGTTTCCTGTAGTAAATTTTTAACAAAAGAGGTCTTCTGTTAAATTCACCCTTTTATCTTAACCTAATTGGTTTCCACATCAGGTCAGTGGACTTCTATTCACAGAAGTTAATTGTTAATATACAAATCTATGCCAGCTTTTCTCTTGTGTTGCCTTTTCCTTTGAAACAGGGTGTACCCATTGAGAATATATTCCACTGCTGGAATTCACCCCACCATGTTTCTATAATCCCTATTATGTTTTACTTGCCTTGGTGCCATGATCCATCTGATCTTGCCTGTTACCCGTTCTGTGTGCATTAATATAGCAACGTTTAAGATAATGGATTAGACTTCCTGTGTTCAGTCTCCCTTTTCTTTTATGCTTTTATTTCCTTTATTTCTTTGTTAAACTAGTAATTTCCAAAACACTTTACTTTGCTGCTTTGTTCAATCCATTACTTGCCAATTAGTTACTTGCCAATTGTCTTACAATTCCTACCCCCTTGTATTGTAGTTTAAATAAGTAAAAAGCATCTGGACTTCTGTAATGAATCTAAATATAGTTTTGAGTAACGAACTATAGCTGGTACAGAACACAGTGAGCAGGCTGGTAAATATGCCTTCTATAATTCTTCATCGAAACAACCACAGTGGCTTCCAGGCAGCTTGTGCACCAAGTTCAAGTGGTGATAGATAATTTTAAAAGCTTCTTGTGGCTTAGGATTAAGCATTTGCAGATGAGTTTAAATCTGATTCATGTCCATGTTGTTAGGGTTTTATATATAATTTGCCATGAGGAAGGAAGGGAGGGGAGGGGAAAAGAAAAAGTGTGAATTTGTCCCAAATCAACAACATTAACAAATTATTTCTGTTCAATGGAACAAGTATTGTATACCATATTTTTTTAAAAAAGTGTCTTTACACATTTTTGTTATGTGCCATTGCATGGTGTGTGTGTGTGTGTGTGTTTATGTATACAAACACACACTCATACACACACACACATACATATACACACATACATACAAACCTTACCTTCTTGTCTCAAAATCAAAAAGTTGATGGA